TCGTTTTTATTTCAAAATTCAAATCTCAAAGATAAAAATATTGATTCTGTAACTTTGTAAAAACATTTTGTGCTTTACTGTTCAAAAAAGTTTAAACAGTTTTATTTTTTGTTCTTTTCAAACTAAACTTTATACTCTTATATTGAAAGCATCTTATTGTAAAATTATTCATTTGTATCTTATTTGACAATAGATCACATTCTTTTATTATCCATTGACAGTTCTGTTGAATAATCTCAATAGTAAAACAAGTATGTTTTGTTTATTGTATGTATAATAAACATAATATAGCTAAATTTAAACTTTTTGGTGCTCTTTGTTTATATATATATATATATATATATGAATTAGAAATGGTTATGTTATGTTAAAATTTGTATAATAAGATTATACATTCATGCATGAATTGTACATTGAAGAATTTTTTTTTATTCTCAATAAACAAATATTTGTAACTAACAAAGATAAAAATTCAATCAAAACCTTTTTCAAAAAATTATTCAAAATATCATCTCTCTCTCTCTCTCTCTCTCTCTCTCTCTTGCTATATATATATATATATATATATATATTTCATTCTTATTATTATTATCTCAATAATAAAATTAAAAATATACCCATGTTTTATGGAACCTAAGATTTTAAGTTAGAAACTATGATATCTTTCTTTGTTGACCCCGACTAGAATTTGAGTATGGTCAATGGGAATTTGAAGCCCAAATTAACAAGATTGTCTTTATGATACCATCATTTACTAGTCGATTGGTGTTGATTTAATCACATTCCTTCTATTGATTGATGGAATCATTACCAATGACCATGTTGGACAAAACAAAAGTGAGTCAATGTTGGGTTATGCTTATGCTTGGGATTCACATATTTAGCAATAAAAATAACAAGCATAGGTAAACACTAGATGTGAAGCTAAATACAATTCCAGGATGAAATTAGGTCATAAGAGTAAGACCAACGATGACTTCAATTGCCATTTTAAAAAGTGCTCTCATACTTGTCATGAATAAATCTTTATAAATAAGATCATCAGTTTTCCAGCTGTAGCTTTCTGTGGAAAGTATTTTTTACAGTCTTTTGAAAATAAGTTGAGTATTCAATACCAAGTTTGTAAATATTTCTTAAAATCAAAAGCTGAAAAATATATATAATAAAAATGTTAGAATCAATAAATCAAATTGTAGTTGTGAGGACACTTGGTTTAAAAGTTACAGAATAAATGTTAGCTCACAATGATAGCTACCTTTGATTAGTACTTATTTTCTGCATTCCATTATTGAAAATCAACTTATGGTTATTGAATTGAGTTTGATTTAAAACAGTTGTTTGTTTTCACATGTTTACATTTTCAAACAACACAGAATATGAACTGCAGTAGAGCATATTATAAGAGGTATTAAAGCTGATTGTACACAAATAATTGCAAACTTTGGTGGTGCAAATCAAGTTTACATCACCTTCAAAATAATTCAAGTCAACAGCAGTAAGAAAGTGGAATACATGTTTGTGTGAATTTATTGCATAGTAATGCAAGTATTGAATAATAGTCAAACTATTGTACAAAAACCAGTGTGTATAAATATCAATTCAAACTATTTCACAAATTAACAAAAGGTTCAGTTAAAAGTAATTATCTTTTTTGTTTTTTAAAGCTAAAACTTATCATAAACAAATTGTAAGGTAATTTTTTTGTTCATATATATATATATATATATATTTATTCATACACATACAAACATGGTATTGCAAGTGCTTCTATAGTTTTTGCTACTAGCACCACAATCTGTCATCTATCACATGTCACAACAATTGTTGCTACTACAACAACTCACCATCCATTCAATAATTTCTTTTCAATTTTTTCTTGTTCCAATAAAAAATTACAATATATATTTTTTTTGTTTTTTTTGGGTCATTTAAAAAAATAATTTGATTTGAATAAAAATAGTTGAAAATTTTAATAAAAAAAGTTGAAAAAAGTTAATAAAAATAAATTGTGGTAATTGTATCAAAAATTGTTGTGACATGCAAAGGATGGTAGATTGTAGTGATAGTAGCAAAATCATGGTCACATTAATATCTCTCAATCTATATATATATATATATATATATATATGTATATATGAATCAATCTATATATGTATATATGAATCAATCTATATATGTATATATGAATCAATCTATATATGTATATATGAATGATTTAATAAAGTAAACAACATGAGTTATGTAAGTCATAATGTGTTATATAAGCCATAATTTACGAAACAATTTTCTATTTTAGTAAATCAAATGTTATGTTTGAATTATGGCTTCAACTCATAGACTTAAAGATCCACACATACTTAGTGCTCTACATTCCGTACTTAACAGCTTGATCAGATATTTAACTAACATTTCAGTTTAGATTAATGTGCTTCTAAATTGTAAGCTGAAACTGGAATATCTGTAATGGTTGATTTAATGTGAATTCCTCCAACAAAAGCAGTTTTCATGTACAAGTGAAATCATTCAATCTCTGCATGAAGTAAGAGACACATTCTAATAACAAAAATACTCATACAACTTCTAAATAATATATATATATATATATTACCACATGCATTTTTTATTTTTTTAATTAACCATGCCACACATGTATGTAAAAACATCATGAAATTGTTTCTCAAGAACCTTGAAAACCACCTTCATTATTTTAACTTTCTAAAACAAAAAAAAACTGCAACTTCACATAAAATACTCCCTCAAAATTGTATGCATACAAACATCATTATAAGTAGGCTCATCATCTATCTAATGGGGAATTTAAGGGCACAGTTTTAATTGCACGGGAGATGGTTTGATGGATGATTGGGCATGTGTGGCAAACACCACAACCAGCCCAGTTGTGAAGCTTACAACATGCAGAAGATGAGTAACCTGACACCACAAACAGGTGAAGAATTTGCTGAAAAGATCCCATCTACCATTAAGAAAAATTTCCAACTTCAATATATATATATATATACACACACAAAATAATAATTTGGGTCACATTAATTATAAAATGTTTTCAACCTGCTCTACCAATCAATGGCAATGATTTTCCAAGGCTTGATATAACTTGTAATATTGAGAATCATTATAACGATGCTACAGACACTATGGCTCTAAATGCCTAATTCAAGGTAATTTTGATGAAGTTGAAGCCTTCTAGAACCATAACCACAACCCAATGTTGACTAGCTGTTAAGAAAATGACGAAACTCTCTCTATCCTACTTAGAATTTAGTTAATACTTAGTTAGTAATTAGTGTGGCCTCTCCAGTAATCCTATGGCACAACAAGTTGAAACCTGGATTAATTAATGAACCAATCAAGAATTTAATGTCCTCAATCATCATCTGCTATTGTTGCTTTTGTTTTATTTGGGAAAAAAAAAGTCAATCAATTGATTTAGGTTCAATCACTACTATTTTTGAGTTGGAAGATTAACACTTACGCACCATTTGCAGCTTTTTTAACAAAAATCAAAAGATTTAGTCTTGCCACTACATATGTTTAGTAGGATGAAAGCACTGGTGGAAGCGAAATTGAAAGTATTCAAGGACACTTTTAGGTGCAATTTGGGAATGAGACATTATAATGTGTTTTTTCAACATTTGTAAAATTTGATACATGAAGAATCAAACCTCTGTATATAACCTTATTTCATGTCATAAAAATTAAATAAAAAATGATTGTAAGTTAATGTTAATAATTCAAAAAATAGAATTGAAACTTACTTGAAGTAATTGAATGTTTGAAAGTACTTGTGGTTAAGTGTTCACCACATGTGATATTCAAGTGAGCAACACACTATTTTGAACTCATGCTCAACAAAACACATATATGAGTTCACTTTCACAATCTTATCAATGCAGTACCAAACTACTAGATATTTTTTCAATCTAATTTAAAAAAGTTACACTATATTAATCTTTGATATTTTAATTTTATTTTTATAAGTTGTATAAAAATTGGTTGTTATATAAAAGCACAAACAATTTGTCTTGAGTTTTGCGTGTTGAGAGAAACCAATGAGTTCACAACAAGCAAAAGAAGGCAAAACATTAAACATGATGACCATGCCCATTTTCTTCTACACAAATAAGTAAAAACTTACATATGTGTGCAAACACACCTAAACTTTGTACATTATGTTTGGGTAGGATTTTGTGGGTGTGTTTCCAACAAAGCCATACCTCAGGGTTCATTTCAGCTATCTTGTCCATCTGTTATGACAACCTAGACTTTGAGGTGACTTTCTGCACCATAACACCAAACCCTAAATTCTCTCTCTCCTGGGCAAAGGCAAACCCTAAAATGTGGGTGATGGACTTTTGAGGGGTGTCAAAGGAAGAAAGAAGAAGAAGAGGTGCCAGAGTGCACACATTGTGGTACCCTAAACATAGTCATGTCCTATCCATCTTGGTTGTTACCACAGCATTTGGTACCCTTGGCCACCCCTTCAGGCTTTTTGTCTCAGCTTCCTTTACAAGATCTCTCTCTATATATGTATATATATATATATATATATATATTATCTCCATGCTTCTTTATTTGATGTCTCTAGAAGGTCTTATTAAAAATCCCCACTCAACAAATAAAAGAAAGCTCTGTGTGTGTGTATATATATATAAATATATTCGTACACACATTTGAAGGAGGATTTGATATATCTTGTAAAAAATCTTGAATGGAGAAGTTGTAGTTGTGAATGAATTCTTCACTTTATGTGAAAAGCGGGGTGTGCCACGGTATTGGGGAGTAGGCGCCTATGCCCGCGGGATGCCCAAATTTAGGTTATGAAAACGCGCTGGCTGACTGGAGCTCATCCATCCGCGTTAGTGGGGGTGGGGGGGGGGTACGGAGCCAGCTGGGGCTGGGTCAGGTGGGGCCGGGTGAGGACCGGTCGACGTTGGGAAGCGTACGAGAACTGGGCCGGGAGAGTCGTCGCAGGGAGCAATGCAATGCGATCGTGAGTGAGAGGAGCTTTTTGTCCGCTTGTCTTGTTCTCGTTCGTGGTGGGGTTGCAATCTGCGATCTGCTGCACTCCCCCCATGCCTCTTTTCCTTTCTATTTCCGTGTCCTTCTTGTCTTTGTTTCGCTGCAAATCGTCCTCTGTGCAGTTCGCTGTACCTCGTGGACTTCTTTTGGCTTCCCTTCATTTCTCCGCCAGTTTTTGCCAGTTTTTCTTCGACGTCTGAAAGGGTTGGTTCTATTCACGGCCTTATGTCAGGGTTGGTTTCTTCTTCAATGGTGGTGTCACTCGGCGTTGTGCTGAAGGAGCTCAGGTCTTGACTCTGGCTTTTAAGGAGTCGGGATATTTTTGGTTTCGACTGAGCATCGACTGTCGCTGGGAGGGGTATTACGAAGCAGGGTGGTCAAGTGGCTCGTGATTTTGGTTGCGGTGGGAGCTTCGCTAGTGATTATGGCATGATGCAGCTGATGCGTTTTGTAGGGATATGATAAAAACAGCACGGGCGGAGGGTGGTGTTTAAGAGGCAGACAGGGTGGTTCTAGCGTGGAGCTTGTGAGGTTGTCGAGCGAGAGAGAGAAAGAGAGCATGTTTGAGGACATCTTGCACACATGAGGAAGAGGAGAATGCGGCGTGGTATATGGAGTGGGGTAGTACCTTCATAAGTGGACTTGCGTTAGAGGTCACCATGTGAGACGTTTCGGAGGGTACTTACGGCTTGGTTGCAAAACATGGAATCGAGAAGTAGCGTACACAGGGCGGAGCAGTTGTAGTGACCCGAGAGCAAGCTTGCTATCGAGTCGTCTCCCTGGAACGCTCTTAGCCATGCCTGGGGAAGTGGCATGGTGGCGTCCTCTCTTCTTGATCGCGCTCATGCCCATCGGGGTATTGAGCAACGCGGAAGGTCGGTGCATAGTTTGTCTTGTTTATGTTAAGTGATGTCTCTTCTAATCACCTGGTTGCTGCTTCTTTCCGTTGAGTTGCGGCTCTGGGATTTATTTAACCTGGCCAATGGTTGGCAGGTGTTTTCAATGAATATGGAACTGCTGTGACAAATGCGATAATTAGAAGGGATACTAGGCATACAGCTAGAAAACTACTTGGCAAGACTAGGGTTTGATAGTACCAGACCTGAACTGCCTCAGTGAGAGTTAACGCAATATATCCCCTAGATTCTGGTTGGTCAGGTTGACGTGCTGTAAGACCAGTCTCTTCATGGTCAGGCCATCTACTCAACTTTGTCGTCACGAGGTACTGATTAAGTCGAAGAAGTTCAATGTTATGCCTTATTTCGGTTCATATCGGGGTGCAGCAGAATAGCAAAAGGAATGTTCTTTGTGAGAAGTTCGTTAGGTATGCAGTTGCGTTGCAATCGGGAATTGCGTTAAGTTCATTGGGACCCGTAGCGTAATTCCACTCTGTTTAGTTTTAATTTTCTCCTAAAGATTTTTTCACGAGTGATCCGTGTGCAAAGCAATCCGTGACAAATTGGTCCGGTTACTGTGTGGAGTGTGTGAGGAGACGATCAAACATATCTTCAGGTTGTTTAGATTAGCTAGAAGAAGAGATGGAAGGAACATGAACTTTTTTTGTATTTACAGAAAGATCAGCTTTTTTGATGTAAAGAGAAAGCTCTGTTCAACACTTCTCTTTGTCGGGTGTTTCACAGATTTTTGGCTTTTATTTATTCCCTGTCTTTAAAGGTAATGATAGTAGTTTGAATTTTAGTCCATGTTCCTTACATCCCTTCGCACGTCTGAAGAAATTCTCGGGTTGCTCCACAACTTAGTAAAGTTGAGGAGAAGTTGAGTAGCACGGGTGACATAGTTTTGCAGCGCCGGGACAGGTCGATAAGGGGTAATGAAATATCAGAGCCTTCTTTACTAGAGGTTTTTAGTTTTATTTCTAGGTACAACAGTCTCCACGCACTTTAGGTCGCGAAGCAATTGAGGATGCATCAAATTGCAGTCTAGAGTGGCGCATTTGCTCCTCAAGTGATTATTGCACGAATCGAGCTTAAGGATTTAGCGTATCATACTAGATTGCATGTTGTACAACTCGCAATATCCTAGTGCTGTCGCTGACTTTACATTCTGATATTCCTGATTTTCTTCTCTGAATGGTGGTGCCTTCATTTCATTATCTAGGATTACGCAATTTGATCAGTATAGTTACTTTGTTAAGTGATTTTGGTTTCGGGATTAGTAGTACATGGCCTTGTCCGACCAGAAGATTGATGATGGTTGGTTAAATTGAAATGATTCATGCAAGCATTGGTTAGCCTATTGTGTGGAATTGGTATGCCCTTTCGTATCTACGAGTCAATCAGATCTGAAGGTCCTTTCATGAGTACATACCAAGCCTGCGTATGATTCGAGATGTGACAATGATTGTGCAGGCGATGCTCTCAATACTTTGCGCCAAAGTTTGATTGATAGTAGCAACGTGCTGCAAAGTTGGGATCCCACTCTTGTAAATCCCTGCACTTGGTTCCATGTTACTTGCAATAACGAGAACAGCGTCATTCGAGTGTAAGTTCATTTTGTACTATTCATCTGATTTTGTATGCACCTGCAGTCGTTACATTGACTTCAACACACCTGCTTTATAATCTCATCGTTTTAAGTTGTTTGAACCGCTAATATCAACATCACTAAGTTTGTTTTCTTTAACTCTTTTACAGGGATTTAGGGAATGCTGGCCTGTCAGGGTCGTTGGTGCCGCAGCTTGGGGTCCTTACAAAGCTCCAATACTTGTAAGTATGCCGAACGGCCCACTCAATGGCAAATACTACCGTAAACTTTACAATGACACTGTAGCGTTGTAGGTTGCGTGTAGTCTTCAGTATTATGCTTGAAGACTGGTTTCGATTGCGTGAAACGATTTCAAGTAGATACTGAACAGCTTATATAAGTTGTTATAGCCCACTTTTCAGACGGAGCGCTTCTTTTTGTAATTCTTAGTTAGTGTTTCATATTTACTCTTTATTTTCTTCTTAGATCGCGCGCAACAGGAGAACAATAATCCTGTGTTTTGTCAATGCCGTCCTCCTGGTCAGTATTGAAGTGATGCGATATCATGACTGAAAATGTTAATTTATGAGGGGCTGAGTGTTGTGTTGAACCTTTACTTGTCGTCAAACCTATTGGCGCTATTGCAGGGAGTTATATAGTAACAACATTTCGGGAACAATACCTAAAGAGCTGGGAAATATCACTGCTCTTGTCAGCCTGGATCTTTATCAAAACAATTTCACTGGCCCTATACCAGATAGCCTTGGACAGCTGTCTAATCTGCGGTTTCTGTACGTCCCTTTGACTCAGAAATTGTGTTCTCCTTGCTATTTGTATAAGTGGCTACTTGGGTGCTCTAGTCCTCCATCTGTTCTGCATCTTAGATGCTAGGAGTCTATCGTAATATTGCTTCCCTTGCCATCACAAACTAGAATTGATCATGGTCAAGAACTACTCAGTCTGTCAGTTGTTGATCAAGTGAGATGTTCAAACTCAGCTGTTATGCAAGGTCACTTTATAAATGAACACACACACACACACACACACACAAGTATTCTGTCTTTATAGTTCCTTTTTTAGAGTTATTTGCATCTTTGACTTTGTTGCATCTACTAGTTCAGCTAAACGTGCGTGTTGTGTGGGTATGTTGAGCAGTAGACTGAACAACAATAGTTTGACCGGCCCCATTCCTGTTTCTCTAACTACCATCAGTGGACTACAAGTGCTGTAAGTCCCTTTTTGACGACTTTCATTTGAGCTGTTCACGAAAGTGCAGGATTTTTGTTTTGCATGTGCCTTTAGCGATTCTGATGCAGTTACTAATTGTGCTGATTCTGTCAATTTTATCAGAATAGCCAGAGCCCTGGTTCGTAATCGTAATTGTATCTATGATGCCTTTTTATTTGTGTTTTTAAATTTATCTGTTTATTTATATTTTCAATAATTTTTTCCCAGAGATCTCTCGTACAATAAGTTATCTGGAGATGTTCCTACCAATGGTTCCTTTTCTCTGTTCACACCCATCAGGTACTATCTCATTTTGAACCTTCTTCTGATGACCTTAGCAACAGCTATTTTCGTTGTGTATGAAACTTAGAACGGTTGTTAAGTATAGGTCAAGTGGATTGGATACGAAGTTCACAAGTTCTGACACGACGGGATCTGTTAACCTAGGAACTTTTTAAAATAAGACAGTGACCCTGAAATTGTTGTATCATTTATGTCCAAATGGTTTGTCCCCATCTCCATGGAAATCTCGGAAGTGTCACGAATCCTGTTTGTAAAATTGATTATACGATTCTCATTGTGACTTTACGGTCCTACGCAGTTTTTTGGGAAACAACGATCTGTGTGGTGCAGTGGTTGGTAAACAATGTCCTGGTCAGCCCCCATTCCCACCACCTCCTCCATTTACACCACCGCCTCCACAAACTCCAAATGGGGCTTCAGGTGAGAATTCGTAAACAGTCCTTGTGAAAATTATAGAATTTTTTCCAAAATGTGATTGCCTTGGTATTATTTTTGGAGCTAAACCAGTGGTGCTGTCTATTTTTTTTTAAAGCTTTGCGAATATGAACTATGTCCGTATTCTGTTGCTTTGGCCTTGTTTCCGTTACTAGTTTCGGTGCTCGTATTTCTGTTTGTTTTATTGTTCACCTAGGTTGGTTTGAACTTGCGAATACTGGTGTGCTCACTACTTGAGAATCACATTTCAGTACATCGTACTTAGAGCAGTGTTGCTCATGGTTTGACACGTAGTCGTATGTTATGCAGCAAACAAACAACAAACAACTAGCACAGGAGCTATTGCAGGTGGAGTTGCTGCAGGAGCTGCTTTGCTATTCGCTGCCCCTGCCATAGGTTTTGCCTGGTGGCGTCGTCGGAGGCCCATTGAAGCCTTCTTTGATGTCCCAGGTAAGTAATGTACCGGAATCATGGTGGATGACTTCTGGAAAACTTGTGGTGCGCTATGCATTATGGCTCCAGTTCCTTACCTGGGTTGACTTTTTCAACTGAAGTTGGTGAATTAAAGTTGGCAAAATTTCTGGAGTGTAACGAATTTATACCAAACATATTCGATCTTAGGTCCTTTGAAGCGAAGTCTTGTTTCCATGTCTAAGCATTGAAACACATCTATATCTTCGTTATTGACCCTAATGTCTGCATCAAGGATGTTACTGTTTGTTTTATTCTTGACACAAGGTTACCTTGTGGGGTTGCAGTACTATTTTTTGAGTAGTTCTTTAATACCCTTTTTCTTATAGTATGGCATTGAGACTTTACAATATGACATTCGTAACGAACCACTCTTGGTTAAAAAGCATGATTGTTGGTGTTCAAAGTTTGGAGTTATTAGAACCGAAGTGTCATCCAAGTTGAATCTATTAGTCATGGGTTGTCTTCTTAGTTGATTTGTCCATTTAATTTTGTTGCCTGTTCTAGTCTTGTTTACAAAATTGGGTAGGCTTTATTATATCTGTGTTTTCGTCTTCTTTCTTGAATATATGTTTAATGATACTTGATGTTGCCGAAGCCGGATTTTATTTGTAGGTCTTTCTGCTGAAGTGTTTTCTTTTGCGATTACAGCCGAGGAAGATCCAGAAGTGCACTTAGGGCAGCTGAAACGATTTTCTCTAAGGGAGCTGCAGGTGGCATCCGACAACTTCAACAACAGGAATATTCTAGGTCGTGGTGGATTTGGCAAGGTTTACAAAGGTCGACTAGCAGATGGGACGCTAGTGGCTATCAAGCGCCTCAAAGAAGAGCGCAGCCCTGGTGGAGAGCTGCAGTTTCAAACAGAGGTGTGCTTCTAGCCCAACTGGTACTGAGCGAATTAGGCTGCAGTTGTTTTACTAGGCTGTAGTTTAACGTTCTTTGGCGGAACAATTCACATAACTAAATGACTGTAAAATAAGCCAAGTGCTGTACTTTGACTTGATATTTACATTTTTGATGCATGTGGATCAGGTCGAGATGATTAGCATGGCAGTGCACCGAAATTTGTTACGGCTTCGTGGATTCTGTATGACTCCTACGGAACGTTTGCTCGTGTACCCATACATGCCAAACGGAAGTGTTGCTTCTCGATTGCGAGGTATGATTCCAATCCATCTAAGCATTGTTTGTAGCTGGGTAATTGTGGTGGTTTCTTCCTCAGGATCTTGACTCCATCTTATATGGAGTGTGGCCATCTTTTGTTTTTTTTGTGTTTTTGGTAAACAAGAAATTCAAATGGCCTGGATCCCTCAATAGGGATGACACATCAATTGTCGGAGTTGGAATTCGACAGATGGATTGAGCCACGTCTGCATAATTAACAGAAAATAATACTGAAGTATTTACTTGTACATTTCGTTACCTGAAATACAATCGATGTGTACAGAACGTGTGGATGGAGAGCCTGCCTTAAGTTGGCGAACCAGGAAGCAAATTGCGTTGGGAGCTGCTCGGGGGCTGTCGTATTTACACGACCATTGTGATCCAAAAATTATTCATCGTGATGTGAAGGCCGCCAACATTCTCTTGGATGAAGAGTTTGAGGCAGTGGTAGGAGATTTTGGTCTCGCCAAGCTTATGGATTACAAAGACACCCATGTTACAACTGCAGTGCGAGGGACTATTGGCCACATCGCACCTGAGTATCTTTCCACTGGAAAATCGTCTGAGAAAACAGATGTTTTTGGGTTCGGAATCATGCTATTGGAACTTATCACTGGTCAGCGAGCTTTTGACTTGGCACGTCTGGCCAATGATGATGATGTCATGCTCTTGGATTGGGTGAGTTGTTATAACCGTTATCGAGCAAGTTTGCCTTTTGGTTGCATTTTTTCTTTTCATATTTTCTTTTCTCACATTGTGAGGAAAGTTTTGGCCGTGTGGGGTTTATTTATTGTGTTGATGTATTATTACATTTCGATAATGACAAATTGATTTATGATGGTGAAACGAAGGATTAAATTGAGAAGTTAGTAGTGCAATTTCTCTGTGCAACATCTGCGAGCATCAGACTGATGCACTTCCATTCTAAATGATGTGGACAGGTGAAGGGATTGTTAAGGGAACGCAAGGTTGATCTTCTTGTAGACCCTGATCTTAAGCAAAATTATGATCAAAAAGAAGTTGAAGAGCTTATTCAGGTACCTTCTCGATCTGCTGCACATTCAGCAACTGTCAAGTAGCAGAAATCTATTTTGGTGCAGAACAAGCGTTGTGAAGAGATTTTGTGCAAATGTTTTATTTCGTAATTTGTGAGGTTTTCCTGATTATTGGGAAGCAATATTATTTTCGCGGTGCAGGTTGCACTGCTCTGCACACAAGGTTCTCCTTTGGACCGGCCAAAAATGGGCGATGTTGTGCGTATGCTCGAAGGTGATGGACTGGCGGAGCGCTGGGAGGAGTGGCAGAAGGTGGAAGTAGTTCGAAATCAAGATTTGGATTTGCCACCCCACCGAACATCAGAATGGATTGTGGATTCAACGGATAATCTGCATGCTGTTGAGCTTTCTGGCCCACGATAGTATGCAAAGTTGTAGAAATATGATGTCCTGCTGGTAAACGTTCTCGCTACTTTGGAGCCTCTACATTTGCTCTTAGACAAAGACTTTGGCGTGCAATCTCACAACTTTGTTGTCACAGTACGCACATTCCCACAGGAGTTAGATCTATTGACCAGGGAGGTTTTCATTGCGTGTTAGGGCTTGAGGTTTTGATCGATGTGGCAGAAGATTTTGATGACCTGTCAGAATTAGTGTGTGATCATTCCTACATGCTCTTGCTCTTAAATGAGGGTTGAACTTTGTACTAGTAAGGGTGGGACATTTGAGTTCCACAAATGCAAGTCCATGCATATTCTGTAGTTAAGTTTTTTATTAACCTATTCTATTAGAAGTTATTCTGAAAGCACAGGGATTGATTTCATCACGGCTTCTCAATTGGCATTCCTGTTGCCCCAGCAAATAATGCCCGTGGGTCAAAGAGTTTTTGGTCTTTTGTAACGATATGCCTCAACGCCTGGCATTTACCTGGTACGTGGTATAGAAAGCCTGCAATCTGTCACCTTCATGCCCTCCTCAGAATTATTTCTTCTTCAATCAGTTCCATCTTATTGCCAGCTCTACTGTGCCTCATATCATCAATTCTATAATGGCGTCGAAACTTAGCATACAGTACACAAACTGATTATTCCTGCTTATCGAGACTGCCCATGAATCTCTATATAATGGATATTCACCAGGTTAAGTTTTCCGTACTCTTCTATGAGACTGTTGCAATCTACATCAAATCCCAGTTGAATTTCGCACTATCTGAAACTCATGTTTTACTCCTCATCTTCTTATAAATATTTTCTTGAAGAAATTAAAAGTACTTACTAAATTGGTGTGCTACAGTTTTTTCTACATATTGGGTAAATTTGTTTCAGAAAATGTCTGCAAAGGTAGTCTCTTTTCTAATGCTTTGGAACTATCTCAGTCAAACCCTTCGACTTAGATTGAACCGCAACTAAATCGCTTACTGCATGAGTCGAGCTAACGTTCAATCAACCAATTACCGTTCGAATCAAAGATACAATTTGTAATTATCCTGGAAGACTAAATCCAAGTGAAACGTATAAAAAACAAATCGTGAATATATGTAGCAAATGATGGATTTGTGCAGTAGAGTGTGAAGGGATTTTACTATAAAAAGACACAGGGAAAAAGAAAAAGAAAAACATCACGTGTATCAAAATGCATGTGTGTGCAATAGCCGAGAAAGAAAACTTACTGGATACATATATTTTAAAAAACAGAGTAGTTCACGATTATTATGTAGCTTTAAGTCGATGGGTTGTGCTTTAGGATAAATTAAGATACACTAAATTTAGAACTACGCGAAAAAGTAAGAATCAAGAATGAAATAAAGTAAAATAAAAAATAACTTGAAAGGCTTCAGGAGAGCTCCAACCCTGAAGTAGGTGGCCAGGATCCTCCACCATCAATTCTCCAGGATATTTCCCACCACACAGTGCCACGTCGGAATGCAGAAGAGGTCCACTTGGCAGGACCCTTCACACGTGGATAGTTCCGTGCTCTACCCCCTGTCATCCTACGTGGCACTCGTCCTGGATACTTTACCTTGACCAGTGCTCTCCTCCCCCTGACCCTGCCCCCCTTCTCCCTCTTTTCTTGCTCCCCCTTCTCAATGAAACAGAAGTGTCTGAGATGGATGGCAATGTGAATATGAAATTCAGTCACCCAGCAACTCCACTTCCCAAGGAAATCCAATGACACCATAACTTCATCACCGAAAAAGTCAGAATGAGAAAGATGTATATATGTGTTTATATATATGTATATATAGGTAGGGGAATGTTAAATTGACCCAAGTATTTACTAAATCAATCCACCCATCCTAACCATCATCAAAAAAATTCTCCACTGTGGGATCTGCATTTGCTGAAAACCAATGAAAAAATAGTTGGATGCTTAGCCAATGATGATGGGTGGGTTGATTTAGTAAATGCATGCATCAATTTAATAATTCCTTGTATGTTTATTGAGTTTGTTCCCAAGTGTTGTTTGTTCTAAATGCAAAGACTTTTATTTTGTCATGTGTCACCTCAACTTCTTTTTTTGTGATTTGCCCATTCTTTTTATCCAAATACCATTCCAGCTGCCCTCTATCCCAGTTGTGGCTTTCTCAAAAATAAAACAAAATAAAATTATGGCTTTCATGAGACAATGGCAATAACAAATTAAACACAAAAACGTAGACATTCAAAATTAAACTAAGCACCCATGATGGTTGTGCATATCACTTTGATGCTTTTGCATTCTTCTTTCTCCTTTATTTCTAAGTTTCACAATATAGATGTGTGGATATGTTAACACATTACAACTATTATTTAATGCAGATAAAATCTTAGGCTTTGTCTACACTATCTATGTTTATGAAATTCTCCTAAGAAGTTGCAATATTATATTGTTTACTTAATTAATTGGAATACAATGTCTAGCTTTGTGATTATTGTTAAAATTGATATAATTAAAAATAGTAGATTAATAATGTTCTTGAAAGATACAAAATCAACAAAACAAACACACAAGATTTGTCAAAACTATATTGTACTCTTCAATGATTAAAAAGCTACTATAATTACAAAAAACACCACAAAATAAAAATAGCTTAATATTTGATATTTTAAATTCTTTCAAAGATTGTACTTGTTTTGAAGGTATGTATTTCAAATCCAGATATATGAAATTGAGATACATGAGGTAGAGATTAAATGAAACATGAAAGCAAGGCACATATATAAATAAGGAAAATATCATAAAATAAAAATATCAAACTGAAAAATTATTTTTAAATTTTTGAAATAAGAAAATATGACATTTATATATATATATATATATATATATATATAAAAGCCATTTCAAAATAAGAAAATAATAAGATATATATATATATATATATATGCATGTATTCACAGTTAGACATGTATCTATTGAGAGCATTAAATGTAGCCAATACTCTCTATAATATTTACTATAGTTTACAATAAATATTGTAGCTACAATGTTTGGAATGTAGTGGGAAAAAACTTGTGTGTGAATGTGTATTTTTTTTGTATATATTACTTCTAACTACTCTTGTGTCTCTCCAAATATTCTCAACACATTATCAACACAATTGTTCTTATGTACTAATCTTGGTTCTTAAAAACTTATGTGCACTTTATCCTTCGCTTTTTTCTCATTTTTTTTCCTACCCTATTGTTGTGCTACTGCTACTGCTACTGCTATGTTATGTTGTTGTGTTGTGTTATTGCTGTGCTGCTGCTACTACTGTATTGTGCTATGATGTACTGTTGCACCCTATCTTGTTGCTATATTACATCACATCTTGACACCAACTGCTACATATTGCTGCCAAATTGTAACACCGTGCCACCACTAATTGCTGCACCATGCCACCAAGCTATTGCAGTCTACTGCACACCTTTATTTTTGTGAAAAAAAAAAAAAAAATCTCTTCAAATTTTAATGTTTTGATGTTAAGTTTAATTTTATTATTATTATTATTTATTTTACATTTTAAGGTACAATTTACTCAATCTTTTCTACTTAATCTTATATTTTTTATTCATAGATTTATTTATAATGAATGTTCAATATCTACAACTGCCTCTACTATGTTTCCAACTATCACCATTGCATCTCAATATTTTCAATCTCTTCTATTTCCACTATTAGATATTTATGGAAATAATTATCTATTATGAGCAAAAATAATAAAAATAAATTTATTTACAAAAAAATTCTCGAATATAATTTTGTTTGAAGAATCTCTTATTTTAAGTACTTCAAGTTTTCTTCTTACTCATTGAAAAACACTTCTTTTGCTTTGTTGTCATCTTATACTTACATTGCAACATCAATATTTGGAAATGGAAGATCCAGCCAAACTTGGAAAGAATCTTAAATCTAAGTTTGATCATCAAAAGACCATTTTTCTTCCTATCATGGATATATATATTTATTTCAATAGTTACTTATATGATTAAGTAGAAGTAAATAAAATAGAATAATTTCATAAAGTCTTCTAGAGAAGCTTCCTAGAAGCTTCATAGATATAGTTTTGACTTTAGATGTATTTATAGGTTAGAAACTTGGCCAAAAAGCTAACCATGTATTGGTAGCTTGTGGAACAAGTTACCTCCGTGTAATAACTTGTGGAATAAGCCAACTACGTGGTGCATATATAGATAACTTGCCCTGCAAGATAAGACATGTGGCTAGCAAAGTCAACACATGTTGGAGGTTCTAAAGGACATCGCCACGTGGCTCTTAGTTAGATAGTATATATGGAGGCAAGAGTGAAGCCTTCTTCACTCTTGTCAATGCCTTTCTAGTCTTGGTCTTGTTTCAAGACTTTCTAGTATTCTTGTTTTTGGCAATAGCCATTCTAGTTAATATTACATCACCTTTTGAGTGACTTTCTAGTTCTTTTCAGTGATAGAAGAGTATATTGAGGATTTTCTTTCTTCGAGATTCATGTTCTTGACACTTCTACATGCACGTCATGACTAGATACATTTATATATCTTAGATTTTTAAAATTTAAATGCTTTCAATAATGAAATATATCATAATATTTCACAACTTTGATTGTGTAGAAAATGCATCTCTAAAAAAGACATGATTGAAAAAATTCTCTCCACATTTCTTTTTGCATTTATTGTACTTGCACAATAATATAGGAACATAAAATTTTAGAGTCACCTTGATTTCATGTCCTATCTACTTTTTATGGAAAAATAAAATGAACTATTTTTGTATAATGCATAAGCTTATTCTATTGGAATGACAATTCCAAAATTTTATGCACTTAATATTTTAAAGTCTAAGAAAAAATTATACAAATATGAAAAAAAATGCTCATTAGCATCAAGTTAATCATGGTTGTGACCATTTCCACCTTTGTGGAAAGAATAAATATTTTATAATTAATTATAGTAGGAAAAAATATAGAAATGCTTTCTTCTCATAAATATGGAATAATTGGACATTTAAGACATATATGCCATACTTAAGAATACTTTTTAAAAATATTCTAAGAAAATAAAAAACTTTGAGATAAGACTTGTAAAGTTCATATTATAGATGAATCCATAGATTCAATTGATTTTGATGATTTAGATGCTTATATGAATGACAAAACCTCTAATGATGAGTCAAATGATTCGCTCATTGATTTTGCAACAACAAATACTATCTTGCAGGATAGAAAATTTTTTACTAAAAAATCTTCAAATTGACAAACTAAAAATTTGATGACTGTGGCTAGAGAAAATACGTTTTATTTCCAAGAAGAAATAATAATAGCAAAATTGCCTATAAGCTCTATTATAAAATATAAATATACAATGTTTGCAC